GTGAATCTGGGTCAGCTTGAATTTCAGCTGAACTGGTTTATCCATCCTGAGAGATTAATTCCTACGAGAATTCCTGACTTATTTAAAGGGAAAGGAAATTTAAGGTATTTCTGTTATGTTGTATGAGGTCTGAAAGAAACTTACTTAAAAAGGAGAGAGAGAATTCTGAAATTACGTATACACTCTGGTAAATATGAAAATGGAGGTTCTGGCCAGATGCAGTTGTTCACACTTGTAATCCCAGCACTTTGGGTGGCCAAGGCAAGAGGACTGCTTGAGCCCAGGAGTTTGAGACCAGCCTGGGCAACATAGTAAGACCTCATCTCTGCAAAAATTTAAAAAATGGCTGGGTATGGTGGCGTGCTCCTGTAGTCCCAGTTACAGGACTACAGGAGGTTGAGGCAGAACGATAGCCTGAGCCAAGGAGGTCAAGGCTGTGGTGAGCCATGATTGTGTCACTGCACTCCAATCTGGGTGACAGAGTGAAATCCAGACTCAATAATAACAATGATGATAATAATAATAATAATAAAGCATAGTAGTGAACCATCTTCATTCTTTTAGTTTTTATATTTTTTTGTGGATTGCATTTTCTGAATCTCTCTTTTTAAAATCAGTTATATTAACAAGAAAAGGAAAAAACAATAACCATTCAGGCAGCATACTGCTGCACTGTTTGTGCAACTTGACGCTATAAGCTGACTTGCGTTGTTACCAACAAACTCCCTGGTAGAGGACACAAGTCAGGAGGAGCTGAAATGGTGACAGTTTTGAGAGGCAGGTGGGGTTGGATTCTACAGTGTAGAATGGGACACTAAGGCCTGAGAAGGGATTCTGTTTGGGTGAAGAATCTGGAAGCTTTTTCTAGGGCCTGAAGGTTGTCATTTGTTGTGGCAGCCTCAGGATGTCACCTACTTAGTAAAGAGTGTCCTTATTCATGAAATAAAGACTAGCAGTTGCACTTATAAGAACAATGATGAAGATGATGATACAGACAAAAATAACTTTCATGAAATGATTATTATGTGACACTGTACTCAATGTGAATTGTATAATTTCAATCTCCATATTTATAGTCTATTTTACAGTCAAGGAGACAGTCGCTAAGTAGGTTAAGTAACTTGTACAAAGTCACCCAGCTCATAAATGACAGAATTGAAACTTGAACAAAGGTCTGTTTGATTTTGAAGCCCATATGCTTAAAATATATTAAAAATTAGCAAGAAATACCAAACTCATACAAAGACTTTGGAAAAATAGAATGGTATAAATATATATATATATGCCATATATATTCTGATATCTGCCTTCAAAAATCTTCATTTTAAATTAAATGATTGAATACTGGAACTATTTTTTTTCTACTGCAAGTCTATGATATTTCAAAGTAGTCCTGTTTGTAGGTCAAAAAAGACCTTCAACTTCTAAATTAAAATGAATATATTCAAATTAAACATTCTCTTTTAGATTAGGTTCATAGAGAGAAAAAAGTTCACAATGAAACGACAGCCTAGGAGAAAATATTTGCAACACATATAACCAATAAGAGTGAATATCGGCTGGATGTGGAGGCTCAGGCTGTAATCCCAGCACAATCCCTGGGATGTCGAAGTGAGAGGATTGCCTGAGCCCAGGCATTCGAGACCAGCCTGGGCAACTTGGTGAGACCTCGTCTCTACAATAAATCACAAAAAGTAGCTGGGCATGGTGGCATGTGTCTGTAGTTTCAGCTACTTGGAAGGCTGAGGCGGAAGGATCAGCGGAACCCAGCAGGTTGAGGTTGAGATGGCCGTGAGAGTGTCACTGCACTCCAGCCTGGGCGACACAAGTGAGACTCCAACTCAAAAAAAAAAAAGTCAATACCACTAATACACAAAGAGCTCCTGCAAATTATTATGATGAAGACAAACAACTCAAGAGAAAAATTGCCTGAGAGCCTGAAGAGTTAATTTCCAGAAAAAAAAGAAAGTTATTAAAAGAAGCTCAAACTCACTAATAAATAAATGCATAAATAAGTAAATAAATAAACCAGCTCATATAACAGATTGGTCTATTCTTTTGAGAAAATAATTTTTGTGTTAAAATATATATCATTCTTTGATTTAACAATGCCACTTCTGGAATCTATGTAAGGATAGTTACTCTTATAAGTCTATATAATGCTAAAAACTTGAAATAACACATAAGTTTTGTGGTAAAAAGATTATTATTTTTTTGAGTCAGAGTCTCCTTTTGTCACCCAGGCTAGAGTGCAGTGGCACAATCACTGCAGCCTTGACCTTCTGGGCTCAGGGGATCCTTCTGCCTCAGCCACCCAAGTAGCTGGGATTACAGGCAAGTACCACCATGCTCAGCTAATTTTTTTTTTAAGTTTTTGTAGAGACAAGTTCTTGCTATGTTTCCAGGCTGGTCTCCAACTCCTGGGTTCAAGAAATCCTCCCGCCTTGGCCTCTCAAAATACTGGGATTACAGGAGTGAGTCACTGTGACTGGCTTGTAAATATATTTTAATTAAGGAAAAAAAAAAATCAAAGTTTAGGTTAATATTTGTTGCCTGATTCTGTTGCTTTAATACAAATATGTTTATATTTTTAAATATAAACTAGTGTTCAGATGGATGGATGGATAGATAAGTGAGTGTAACTGAGGGAAAGGTAGAAAGGAAATGTAGGAGACTATTAAACTGTGGAATGGGATAAGATTGAATGAGCAAAGGGAGAACTTCCCCTCTTTATTTTTATTTTATTCTGAGTTGGAGTCTCACTCTGCTGCCCAGGCTGGAGTGCAGTAGCACGTTCACAGCCACCACAGCCTCGACCTGCTGGGCTTAGGCAATCCTTCCGCCTCAGCCTTCCAAGGACCTGGAACTACAGGTGTGCACCACCATGCCCAGCTAATTTTTTTTTTTTTTTTTTTCTTTTTAGTGTAGAGATGAAGTCTCGCCTAGTTGCCTAGGCTGGTCTCGAACCCCGGGGCTCAGGCAGTCCTCTCACCTCATCCTCCCAAAGTGCTGGGATTATAGACATGAGCCACTGTGCCCTGCCTATTTTTATTTTTAAAGTAATGGGACTGGAGTACATTTTATATTTTTGTGATATAAATGAAATTTTTTTAAAAAAAGGAGAAAATCATCTGTCTTAATGATCAATCATGAATCTAAAGTTACAACAATCTTGAACTTTTGTGAAATGCAAGACGTCCCACCACTTGGATTTTTTTTTACTTTATGAGGGTACAAAAGTGATACACAGTCAGTACAAACTGTCCTTTTAGTTTCTATACAACCATTCTGTTTTTCACTTTCAGAACAATATTCAATATATTACATGTGATGTTCCCGACTTTATTATGAAATAGGCTTTGTGTTAGATGACTTTTCCCAATTGTAGGCTAACGTAAGTGTTCTGAGCATGTTTGAGGTAGGCTGTGCTAAGCTATGATGTTTGGTGGGTTAGGTGTAGCAAATGCATTTTCAACCTATGATATTTTCAATTTAAAATAGGTTTACCCAGGGGCACAGTGGGCCATACCTCTAATCCCAGCACTTTGGGGGGGCCAAGGTGGGAGGATTGCTTGAGCCCAGAAGTTTGAGACTAGTCTAGGCAACATAGCAAGACGTTGCCTCTACAAAAAATAATACAAAAAAAAAAATTAGCCTGGTGTGGTTGCACGCACCTGTAGATCCAGCTACTTGGGAAGCTGAGGTGGAAGGATCACCTAAGCCCAGGAGGTCAAGACTGCGGTAAGCCAATGACCATGCTACTGCACTCCAGCCTGGGTGACAGAGTGAGACCCTGACTCATTAAAAAAAAAAGAGGTTTATGAAGACATAATCTCATTGTAAGCAGGAAGACATCTGCACTCCACAAACAAGTATAAAGATATTGGAAATATCCAACCCATTTTAACATTTTTCCTTTATCACAAAAGGTGTAAGTGGAAAATTTTGTATTATAGAGACAAATTACTTAAAAATAAATAAAAATTACTCACAATTTTCACAATCCTTACAATGAATAGAGTAGTGGTGCTCTAGTACACAACGGTTCTTGCAGACTTTTATTTCCTGTTTATTTTTTTAAACTATGCAAAGTTTTGAGTAGTCTTGCAAAAGTAATGGCATCAGGAATCATTTACTTGGTGGCAATTTTCTACAAGTTTTTTTCCAAGTATATTTTTTTCCAGCCCCTCTCAAAGTCCTTTATTCATTTTTAAATAGCATAGTCATCTCAACATATGTCTATACAAAAACTTGTACACAAATATTCAAAGCAGCGCTATTCATAATAGCCAAAAGTGGAAACAAGCCAAATGTACATTAACTGATAAAAACCTAAACAAAATGTGGGCCATCCATACAGTAGAATATTACTTGGCAGAAAAAAAGGAATAAAGTGCTGGTTCATGCTACTGTATGAAGGAACATTATGCTTGGAGAAAGAAGTCAGTCACAAAATATCATATATTATAGCATCTCATTTCTATGAAAAGTCCAGAATTGTCAAAAATTGCCTGTAGAGGAAAAAAGTGAATTCGGGGTTGCTTGGGGTTATGGGAGGGGCTGCTGAGGGGATGGGAAGTGACTTCTAGTGGTTTCTTTTGGGGGGTAATAACGATGTTTTTAATCTAGATAATGGCAATTGGGGTATAACTCTGTAAATATACTCAGAACCAGTAAGCTGAATACATTAAAGGGTCAACTTTTATGATATGTACGTTATGCCTCAAGTTTGTAAAAAAAGTATTATGGAAGTGTTTTATTATTATTAGAAGTAACTGTGAGGAAAGTTCTAGACAATCTGGATTTTTTCTTTGGAATTCTCCTTCTCCCCTGTCTAACTCTGTTTTCCTCAAACTTAACTCCAGGAAGAAACTTGGTTGACTGTGGTTTTTTTCATATAGAACTTTTTTCCCTTCCAACGTGTTTTGAACCTATTTGGTTGACATCTTTCTTGAATCAGGATCCCACAAATGAAAATAAAATTAAAGCAGCCAACTCACCTTCGATAATGTGCTTTCTTGACAGACCTCTTTCCGTTTCAGCTCTGTCAAGAAAAAAAAAAAGTAAAGGACTTTGAGAGAGGCTGTGCTTATTTTTTTTAAAATCTCTATCTCAAAAGTGCAGAAGAATAATCACTTTTACTTAGTCTGAATTGCTAATTTTATATCCTGTTCTTGGCAAATTCTACTGAAGGCTGAGAAGAGAAGTCTGTGGGCAGCACAGTGGGACCCTTTTCTTTGGAGACCCCAGGAGATTAATTATCTATGGCTGTCACCATGCCACTAATAGCCGCTCAGCACCAGGCTTAAGTTAATAACAAGTCAGTCACACACACCCAGTCCATATACAATTTGAAACATGGTTCAATCTTCCCACCTTGTTTTTAACCAATTTAAAGCAAAAAATAAAAATAAAAAAAGCAAGAAATGCCTTGATATAGGTTTTTGAGTTTACTGTAAGATTGCCAAGCTGCTGATATATTGCTAGCTTTTTTGAGAAATGAAGCAAATTTAAAAGTGCCTTTTGACTTTCAAAGGAAATTTTAGAACTATTTTCTTTTAGAATGTGATGAAGAAAGTCTTCCTTAAACCAGTATCCTAAGAAGACAGACTCTTAATCATAAAGACTTTTGTCTTCCCAGACAATTCACAAGCTGTAGTCAATTAGAAAGAAATATGGCCCTTGAATTTTAAAGTATTGATAAAATATTTCCTCAGCATCAATCTCTTTGGCAGCCTCCTTTAAAAATATAGTCATTTTTACCATTCACCTTTGTGAATATACATTTATTCTGTATCTTGCATAAGTATATTAGATAATATTGCATGTAGTACTCTACTTCATAATGGTTCCTGTAGCTTGTCTCATTTCCTGTTTATTTCTAAACAAGGTTTTATCTATCTATCTATCTATCTATCTATCTATCTATCTATCTATCTATCTATCTATCTATCTATCTATTTTAGAGATGAGGTCTTCCTTTGTTGGCTAAGCTGGTCTAGAACTCCTGGGTTCAAGAAATCCTTCTGCCTTGTCCTCCCAAAATTCTGGAATTACAGGTATGAGCCACCATGCCCGGCCCTTGTTTATTATTTTTAAGCAAGGTTTTGTGTACCACTGTAAAAGCACCAAGCAATGACGCTGTGAATCAAAATACATTCAATGGAAATTCATATTCCTTATGGGCAACATACTGCTTTATTGTCGTGTAGATTACTATAGGGGTAAAATCTAAATTCCATCTTTCCGTCTTCATATCACGATAAGCAGACTCAAGAACGACAAAAAAATATTGCATGTATGTGTATCCACATATACAACTGATTAGAAGGTTCTAAAAAGGAATTAGCCCCTGCTTCTGATTTTTTAAAAACTATTCCCTATCAGTTATAGAGAAGTAAATACGATTTCATTTGTTTGTTTTGTTAAGACTCCAGCATTTTGAGATATCTGTCTTAAAGATGGAAAAGCACAGTGCTAACAATTGCTCTGGTATGTGGAATAGCTTGCTGTTTTCTTATAAATTTGTCAAAAAGGCCAGCCTTTTAAGTCCTGCTGAATAATATAAGTACTAGTTCAGGCCCATCACAAGCTAATTCATCCTGTGAGATTTGTTTTGCACCCCAAAACAGAGAGCATCTCTCTTTCATTTGGCCTGACAATGACTGATACAAGTAACTCCGTGTTCTCCTCCAATGAGATGGCCCTTTTGATCAGCACTTTCAGAGCCCTCTGCAGAAATGATCAGAGACTTAGGACTGGAGCCAGACGAGATATTTTTATCTTTGCATTCTGTAGAAGTCTCTGAGTTTTGGCAGGTTTGAGTAGTTTTTCTTCTGTGATGCTTTGTGCTTATTTTTCTTTCCTGAAATTTGAACTCTATTTTGGAAAGGATTCTAAGGATGAGATTGGTATTTGAAAAATCACCATATATCACTTAGTAACAAGTGACCACATGCTTTGCACTAAATTTCTTTGGGAATATCTTGCTAAAATTAAATCCTAGCTAATTGCTATGAGAAAAAAAATCCTAAGTTAATTAGTTTTAGTACATTAGATGTAAAACAATTGCCCAAAACCATAAAAGCACGAACAACTAGTTGTGCCCTGTTTAGTAGGGATAATAAGAGATATTTAAACTTACTTTCCACCCCAGTAGAGTTTGGTTGTTATGACCAGGCTGGACCTCCTGCACATCAAACAGACAAACACAGAAATAATCAGTACATGCAGGTTACTATATAAAATCATATTATTATTATGGTACCAGAGAAAGAATTTGTTATTGTATCTTACACTTTCACAAATTGGTAAAGAGGTACATTTCTTAATTCATGTCACTGAAATGTAAGGTTAAAGTCAGATCCCAGAGGAAGAGTTTGAAAGGAAGTGATCTTCGCTTGGGGGGCTGGAGGAGGTGGAAGGTGGTGACAGCAAGTCCAGAAGTGACAGCAGCTCAGGTGGTACAAAGCGAAGGTGAGTGGTAGGTCAGCATGGAGGTTCAGAGAAGGTGCACAGAAATGGGAGTGAAAGGACTGAAGGGATGTCTTGCATTAGCAGCTCAAATGATCAAACACCAGAGAACATCTCCTCAGCATCTGGCCTGATGCTGACTGTGTGTGAACTTTTTCCAGGAGAAGCTCCACCCTCTGTAGAGGACCACAGACCTTCCAACCACCACATTCACAGGCAAGGACTGACTATTAGAAATATGAATCATGAAGTAAATTAGGAGTCAATAAGTATAAAAAATATTTGTAAAAAATCTCTTTGAGCATCTTATTAGATGGAAATGTCCTTTTAGGGTAAACAGCCCTAAAATCCTTAACACAAGTTTCTACCACTTTACTTCTAAGGGAGTGAAATGTGGAAATCTTGTCAACAAACTGACTACCTTCTCAAAGCCACAACCAAGGACAGAAAATGCAATTGTAGCATTATGATCATGGAATAAGAAATAGGTCTTGAGAACTACAGGTATGTAATTTAAAATTGGGAGGCAGATCTCAATGCAATTTAGTTTCCCTAGGTATGTAATTTGATTGCACTGGTCTAGGGGAAAAAATCATTTGAGATTCAAAGGGTAAAACTAAACTTCAGTAATATTTGTAATATGGCATTTATAATTCCATCAGCTGTGGAATTGATGCCTGGGGGCTCTCAGGTATAAAAGCTTAGCATTATTAATGACAACCAATGGGGAATGACAGCAATAATTCTGACAACTTGGTTGCAACAAGAAAAATTTGTTGAAAATGTCAGCAGCCCCATCCCACGGAAGTTAATTGCCTGGAAAGTAATTGGAATCACTGTAATGGAAGGTCTATATGTATACGTACCTGGAGATTACACTACCCTAAAGACCTGATGTACTACTTTCCAGGTTAATACATCAAACTCGCGATACCTATTGTAATAGCAACCTGCTACAGATTGTAATAGCAACCTGCTACAGGGGAGCCAGATTTCCATTAGTAAACATTTTTAACCTTCACCAAAAGGCTGGGAGGAATAGTATAAAAATAATTGCAGCCCGTTTGATTATTCAGAGCTATTGGGCCTGCTGAAGCTGCATGTTCTATCCACCAGACACTTATCTTTCCAGAGTTAGGCTTCCTGTTAAATGTTCAGCCTACATGGGTGTGCACACTAACATTTATGGTCAGCAACCTGGCAAATTATCACTGACTCCCACGGAGGCTCTCAGAGCAACTTCTCCGAGTGGGTAGTGAATGATCATGTGAGTATTTTAGAGCGATACAGCACAACCTTCAAAATACCTTTGCACGCCCTATCTTACGTGCCAGTATGACGCTTCACGAACAGTTATGCTGTCCATTTTACAGGTGGGAGACTCAGAATCAGAGAAGTGAGGTCACTTGCCCTGGAAGACACAGCTAGCAAATGGCAGCCTCAGGACTAGAAGTCAAGCGTGCTAGTTGAAACAGCTTTTGTAAGCTCAGTGCTACCATGAAATGGATTGTCTTTTCACCAGTCTCATAGGGACAATTGGGAACTGATAGAAACATCATGTAGTATGGTGACAGCTTGAGTTTTTATTTGCAAGGCTGAAAGGTAGTTGTTGGAACATGCATGTCAAATCTATTTTCTATGCAAGGTATATATAATAGGTTCTGTAGCTATAGAGAGTGATGATTAAATGTTTTCTGGGTGCTGAGAGGGGAAGAAGCTACTTTGCTGATACTCTCCCTTCTTCCTCAAGTATACCCCAGCAGCCCACACCTCATGGCAGACCTCACTATAATTTTAGTGAACCTATCTCCAAGGTTTCCATAATAGTTGAATAGTGTCCCTCAAAAAGATATGTGAAAGCCCTAACCCCCAGAACCTCACTCAGTTTGTGAGCTTATTTGGAAACAGGGTCATTGCAGATGCATTTAGTTCATAAGTAGGGTAGACCCCCTAATCCAACGTGACTGATGTCTTTATAGAGGACACACAGACACACAAGGGGAAAACACCATGTGACAACAGAAGCTGAAATGCTGCAACTACAAGCCAAGAATGGCTGGCCACCATCAGACGATAAAAAGCAGCAAAGGGCTGGGTATGATGGCTCATGCCTATAATCCCAGCACTTTGGGAAGCTGAGGCAGCAGGATCACTTGAGCCCAGGAATTCAAGACCAGCCTGGACAACAGAGCAAGACTTTGTCTCTACAAAAAAAAAAAAATTAGCATAGTCGCGCATGCCTGTAGTCCCAGCTACTTGGAAGACCAGAAGGCTCAGAGGATCACCTGAACCCAGGAAACCAAGGCTGCAGTAAGCCGCAATTGTGTCACTGCATTTCAACCTGGGCAACAGAATAAGATCCAGATTCAAAAAAATTTTAAAAAGTAAATTAAAAAAAGTAGCAAGGAAGGATTCTATCCACAGTTTCAGAGGGAGCATGGCCCTGACAATACCTTGATCTTGGACTTCTACTCTTCAGAACTGTGCTAGAGAACGTTTTGGCTGTTTAAAGCCACCCAGTTTGTGACCGTTTGTAGCAGCAGCCCTGGGAAACAGATACAGTCCCTAATGAGGCAGTGATGGATGGACTAACATTCTGAATGGGAAAGAAACTCCAGCAAGATGGAGGCCTGGGTGGCAACATGAACATTTTTCCATATTTAGGGTGAAATCTAGTTTTCTATTAACATCCTTACTGTTCCCTGGGGTGGGAGAGGAGAAGAGAGGGCTAGAAAGTGGGTCATCAAAGTTTATTTGTCCGTATCCCCATAAATGACTGGTTTTCCATTTCCACAAGGCCTCTATTCTAATCAAGAGTTTATCTCCAAGTGAGGCATAAGCTGCCCTAAAAACACACCCCAGCCTTCCAGTCTCCCCTCCTATAGGGGGTTTGAAGGATGCTTGCAAAAGCACAGCAGAACCACTCTTGAGCTGTACTCTTTGAGAATGTTCGTGCTTCCTAGACTTAAGTTTAGAAAACACATGCCAAGTATTGAAGTGTGAGGACGAGCTCTTTCAACAGTTACCGTCAATAACACTATAGCACTGACATTTACGTGGCAATTGGCAGATATTGTGCTAGAACAGAGGAGGACCCTGAGCTTGCCCAGTGATCTTTGCTGGGCTTTGCCTGGTTCTGCACTCATGCTGGGGAAAGGTGACTATTGTGGCTACATCCATTGTGAAATGGAAGGGAACTGCCTTCCCACCCCCACAGACGTCATGGCTTCCCTTAGAACCACTGGCTTTGGCTACAGGAGGTGATGGAATGGGATGTGTGAGCACAGCCCCTTGTGTTTCCCAGGGATTGCAGATGAAAGCACTTTCCTGAATACCCAGAGAATGGGGTTCCTGGGTATCCAGGAGAGATCATATGTTCAAAAAGAAAGTTTTGGAGTATTTATCCCAAGGGCTTCTTGTTTCATCAGATCTTTGCATTCAGGGTTGCTAATAAAATAAAAGCAAACATAAGTATGTGTGTATAGATCACCAGCTTTTTGCCAGCTTGCACCCTTCACCAAATTGCCCTAAATAGCAGTCAACAATCATAAAAACGTCACTTTCTTTTATGCCCAAATATCTCATGAACATCCTTTCCTTCCGGCTCAACCCCGTGGTAATTCACTGTGATCAATGACCAGTCAACAATTTTTGAAGCACACGTAATGAACCTGCTGGCATTTATTTTCAAACCACTATAAGTCATTTCTTTACCAATAATTGACTCTTTTTTTCTTTTTTGACAGCTTTTTGGTCAGGTGCTATGGGATTTTATTTTCCCTTCTCTGGTGCAAAATAATAAGACTTTTAGAAGGCAAACAGATGATGATGGTGAATGCAATACCTCCAGCCTTTCTTCTTGATGATGCTCCCCAGAATCACTTCAGCCCTGTAGGGGGAAACAGACAGTGTCTTAGAACCCAGTGTCCTGGAAAAGCAAGAGTCAACCCCCAACACCAGAGCCATTCCTTGTCTGAACTCTCAGTGCCTACATATCCCGAAAATAGAAGCCGCTCCCGGCTGGTAGCACAGTTTCCGCTGTTTCTGCTTGTGCCTGCAGAATCCTGCTCCGGAGCATTCCAGAAACACCTGCCAAATCTTGACACGCTGGCAGGAGACCACCTGCAGTCCTGATACTAAGAAACAGCAGAGTCATTTGGCAGTTTGTTGTTTTTAAACCTCTGATCTCATATATAAATGTCCTGCTTGGTGGCATCCAATGGGAGTCAACATCTTTCCAATTGCTGTGGAGAAACTCACTTGTATCCGCAGAGAACAATGAGACCTCCCACCCTTTAGGTAGGAAATATTAGCTCCCAGGTGATCCTGCAGTATAAATGAAGGACCCGTGTGTGGGTTTAGATGCCCCCAAAGCCAGGGCTGCAGATGCAGTGGTCCACAGAGAGAATGTCCTGGGTCCTAGTGACAAACTCTACCATAGGAGCAAGATAGAAAGAGACATAATGGAATTCCTTCCTGCCCCTGAGCCTGGGTTGTGGAGAGGCGAACTGAGGATATCCACTGTCCTCTTCCTTTTACCTATCCCAGCTGGGACGCAAGACAAAACTAAACTGTTCATCCATGTCCCTCCCAATAAGACAAAAGTGAAAAGCCCTGGACCCTCAGAGCCTTTGTGAATGGGAGATCAATGGAATGAGCACTTTGGTCATGAGGGAGCCATAGATGACAGTCATTGCTAATTGTTATTGGTCTTAACTGGAAGTTCTGTTTTGTGAGATTGTACAGCTTGCAACAAACCATGATGCAGGTTAGCTATGGCGTGTACCTGAAAGAAATAGGCATTGAGCCTTGTGTCGGTGTTCTGCCTGATTGCTTCTGTCTCTGTTGCCCTTTGCAACCTCACATTTCACAGTGGGAACTTATCTCAAGTACATGCTGACAATCAGTCAATAATTAATCAGGACAATTATCCTTCACAGTAGGACTATAAACAGGACCCTAGCAGACTTGCTACTTACCCCTCCCTTTTGCTTTCCTAGCCCCATTTGTTATTAAGCAGGATTCACAAAGAAGAAAACACAAGGAAGGGGCAGAGGGCAGAAAGAAACCAGGCCCTGTCACTGTTACTTTCTCCCCTTGGACACAGCAGAAAACATCAGGGATGTGGGCTCTGAACCTTCTGGATGGTCCTGAAACATAGACCTGCTCTTGAAAAGAATGACACTCATGCAAGGAAAATGCACTTGGATTGTTCGGTGATTAACCTGATTCAGGAGTTTGTGTCTTTCTCACCTGGAAGGAGTGAATCAGGCCTGCAGGTGACTGAGTGCCACAGTCCTGCTAGAAATAGTAGAACTGAGCCGGGCTTGGTGGCTCAGCCTGTAATCCCGCGCCTTTGGGAGGCTGAGGTGAGTGGATTGCCTGAGCCCGCGGGTTCGAGACCCGCCTGGGCAGCGAGACCTCATCTCTACAATAAATCAAAACATCAGCCGGGCGTGGTAGCGCATGCCTGTGATT